GAAGGTCTGGGGCCCAGCCCCCTTTGCTGCGCCACAATTGCCAGCAAGACTGAATTGCCTGTCTAAGTCACAGGATAATGCACCGCGTGGCCTTAAGCTTCGAAAACTATTGGCATTTGCACATTTCACGTAGTTTTTCTGGAAAGAATGTTGCCATTTGATTTGTGCGGTTTGAGAAGCACTTGGCAAGGTTTCGGTTGATTGTTTAGCACACGGCACAAAGAGTTGTTCAGTTTGGAAAGACAACGCCGTCAACGTGTGGGCTTTGCCATGTGCTTGTGCGGTGCCTTGGAAAAGCAACACTTGGTGCAGCCAAAACCAGAAAAAAACACAGTGTAACGTGTTTTTTGTTTGGATCTGGTTGAGTGTTGCGGCATAGCAGCACATCTGTTGCCGCTGGTGTGTTCTGAAGCTGTTCTGTCTGTCATTTTTTGTTCATGTTTTTCAAAAAACGTGTGCACTACAAGGCACGGAAAAACTTTTCCAGAAATGGCGAGTTGTGGAGCTTCTTGTAATTAGTTTGTTGTTTGTTTGTTGCTAGAGAAAAAAGACATGCATTCAACGCAAGCTGCAACGCCAATGACGTGCTCCATGCATTGGACTTCCCACCATCTTGACGATTGCTGTAGCAGACAGAAAGGCAAAATCAGGCAGGAACAGAGGAAAAACAGTTTGCTTAGAGGATTGAAAAAAGTCTGTGTGCCGGGATTTGCTTCTGTCTGTGTCTGGCCTCTAGGGTTTCAGGTGTAGTGCAGAGTTCCACAATAGGCAACTGTACCGTTCAAGTGATTTCGGTGGAATCGCTTCCTTGCGGGGTTATCCGCACAGCAAGTCTCTTGTTCACCTTCGGATTCCCTCCGCTTTTCACCTTTCCGCACACAAAAACAAAGCCAGGCGGCTTTGAAAACGGATTTCATTTTCTTCTTTTTCATCTCTTTCTTCGTTTCTTGACCTCTAAAAAAGCGTTTCCGTGTGGCTTCTCTTTTTTTGTTCGGAAAGAACGTCAGGGTTTGAACCCAGGTTTCTTCTTTTGTTTCGAGAGAAGTTCAGGTTTTGAAACCAAGTTTTTGAAAATGGATTTGATTTTCTTTTTTTAATCGTTTTTTGACCCCTCAAAAGCGTTTTGTGTGGCTTTCTCCTTTTCAACGCTTGTCTGTTTTTGGTGAGGATCAACTAATGATGCTTCGAAGTCTTGGTGCTTTTCGTTTTGTAGAGATGCTGCGAAAATCACCGTATCCCGTGCTTTCAAACTCGAGGAAGAAACCATGGAAACCACTTGCACGACTTAGATCCTTAGATTGCAATTTTAGTAATAGATGCTGCCCGTTGGCGGAAGAGTCAGGTGCAGAGCTACTGTTTCACAGCATGCCATGACATTGTGTTTGATTTCGCTTCACTTCCTCCATTGTGAAAAGCCAGTGTTGGTTCGAGGTGTAGCAGCAGTGTCTGGTAGGTTGCATGTGCATGAAAAATGAATATGCACATGTGCATATGCAGGCAAGCATAGCAGTGACGAGAGCTGTTCAACGTAGTTGGGCATGCGTGTTTTCGCTTGTTAATGCAGTCGTTTCAAGTGCATGTCGGGAGTACATACAACAACAGCCTTTGTCAAAGCTGTCAAGGACATGGTTGTGCTGTGGGTGAGGATTTCCGAGAGCCCAGCTTGAAACCAGGAGTGCGCTGATTGCCTGAAGAAGAATGTTGTGTATCTCTTGGTCGTCAAAGATGGCAGAATGCAGTTGTTTTGCCAAGCGGGCATGCGGAAACTGGCAGTGTCAAGGCCCTCGTGTATGAAAAAGATCCATTTGGTAGTGACAGTCGAACCCTAAGGCTTGAACGGTCCATTCGCCAATGCAGGGTTTTGTGGATGCTTGACCCAGGTGATTCCGAACAGGGAGCCGCGGACGAGCAGATCGCACAGCAACAAAGCAGCGGGCGCGAACCTTGTGAATAGCAGCTGCATGTTGTGCAGGTTCATTAGAGTTGTGATGGTGGGGCTGTGGACTCACTAGGATGAGCAAAATGAATTAAT